GCACAGCACATCAAAGTTCCTCGCTTTCGGGCAGTACGAGCATAGAGTTGATGAAGGATATCACCCAAGAGAGTGGGTACCAGATTCTGAGAGATGAAGATCTTTATGGCATTAATATCAACAAAAGTGTCAGGATTCAGAAACAATACCAGACCATAAATCAAGAGAGCCAAAATGTCCTCGTACGCCTTGAAGTCTAAGCTGTCCCATAAGTAATTAGCTTTGTCAACCAAAAACTTAGCCAGAAAACCCTTAGCTCCACTTCTAGTCTCCCAGTTAGCCATTACCTCCTCCTTGGTCAAGTGAAGGGCTGCAGCAATTTCTTCGGGCTTAAGAGTCTTTTCCCAACCAGTAAACGGAGTTTGTTCCAAAACAGAGATACCAAGCAGCTCAGAGAACTCTTCCAGGGTAGGAACCAGCTGGAAGTCTTGAAAGGTGAAGCAATGGTATAACGGATCATAAAACTAGACCAGGACACTCATCATTTGTTCATCCAATTTTGAAGTGACCAAACTGAGAAGAGAACCATGCCTTCTGATGAAGGAAGTAGTGTATGGTATCCTGACAACCAAATCTTTAAGCAGGGTAGGTACTTGGACAAAGTTGATCCGGATAGTATTCCTACGCATGGGCATCATGATGACCTACAAAACAGAGCAAAGATGAAACCCTCTTGTCTTTGAAATAGGTTAGTCCTTATGCAAAATGTATGCAATGTTATGATGTCATGATAAAGGTACACCACAAGTATCCACAAAAGTAAACACGGTAAAGGCACACAAGTCACACTGAGAGCCCTTATATTTCAGGCTGGCATGGAGCTTAGGTACCACCCTCTTTCAGTTCAGTTGGTTAAGACCTTTCCTAAAAAATATTAATCGGGTTCTAGAGGATCTCAATATCACTGACTACCCTCAATCGGTCATAATTCCAGTTTAGCAACCTTTTCTTGCGGCCGAAATCATCGCGAGAGTTTAGTCTCAATGAGTGTAGCATACTGCTACTGTTCTATGGCCAAGTTTGTCAATTTAAGGTTCTAAGGTCAGTTGGTGCTTAATGACTCCTTAGAAGACCCATATTTTCCTCGTTCCAACACAAGGGATATCGGTACAGACCAAGGTGCCACACCAACGTAGTTACTGCTTCATCCGTGTCGGTCTACACCGGACAGATCCCTCACAGTTTATTGCTACTTACCTAAAGGGTATCCCCAGATCCAGGTTAGGATCTATATAACTCCGATACAAGGCCACAAATTTAAAGCATACAAAGCATAAAATTGAAAACATAGTGATCTAATCCTAAGGTACACCTCACTAAATAACTCCCTAGCAGAGTCGCCAGTTCTGTGATCGGTGGGAATGAGAACTGACTGTTTTGGAATGTTGGTTCGCGTTTGCGTTTGTTTTCACAAAATGTCGCGGTAAGCAAGAGTCGCCACCGTCTTTTATTTTATCCAACAAGGAAAGGACAAAAGCACAGAAAAAATCCTTTTTGAGATGTTTCTCGGGTTCGGGAGGTAGATTATAGAAAGGGAATGTGTTAGCACCCTTTCTATCTGTGGTTATCCACGAGCTCTTAGGTACTTGCTCATTACGTTTTCAAAAGTTTGCTTTTCTTTGTGTTTGTGGGTTTGAAAAGAGTTTTTTGTTTGAAAGGTGTAAGTGCGAAAAGTTTTTGTTTTGTTTTAAAAGGAGCAAGTACTTAAGAACATCTACCTACTCAAAAAGGAATTAAATTGTACAAGTGTCCTTTAGACAGTGTTGTCCCACTATTGAGGAGTAGGTAGCACCGTCGTTGGAGTTTTCGGGTCAATTCGATCAAGGGACGTGTGGTTACTAAAGCAACGTTAGGATGCCTTAGCGATAACCTTAATGTCTTAGATCATTTTATCCGAGGCAACCGTTTCGAGGAAACTTATGATCTTTGGACAAGAGGGCGACCTCTAAAACTTCCTATACTCAATGACCACATTCGAGGCAACCAAGTGAGGTGTACCCTAAGAGTGGCATGTGCGAGTGTATTGTTTTTCAGTTATATTATCTTTGTACATGTTATGGTGAGCTACTGTTGATTTTAAATTAAAATTGATCTTATCATGCATTGCCTATTATTCAAACATCTAACAGTTAATAGTTGCAGAAGGTAAATTGCGGAAAATAAATCTAAGCTATTACAAGGCATCGGGTATTTACATCGCCAAAAACAAACCCTTAAAAAATTAAATTGCAAAAAGTAAACAAAAGCGATAAATAAATCCTAATTTAAAAACTATTACATTCCGGAAGCAATTACAATATGGTAATATGGATTAAAACTTATTCGCGCGCGAGAAAATTAAATCGAAGTGTTTTTTAGGGTTTTGACCCTTTTAATTAAATAAAGCATATTTTTTGTTATTTTTTGAATTAAAAATTAGTCTAAATTAATAATTGATTAAATGAAAATATTTTTGGATTTTTATTATTTAAGGAAATAAAATGAGAATGGTTAAAAAATATAAAAAAAACCAAATTCTAAATCAATTTTAATTTATTGCAAAATATATTATTATTAATCCTATTTAAACTAAATAAATAAATAAATTTTTTATTTACAAAAATAATAATAAAATTAATGGAATTAAATATAAATATTTTTTTGTTGTTTCTGATTTTTTATGAAAAAGAGTTAATGGATTAATTGGTTAATTAAAATAATAATAATAATAATAAAATAGAAATAAAAAATAATGAAAAGAAAAAATAAAAAGAACAAACTCAGGGGGGTGTGGGCCTGGAGAAGGTGTCTGAATGGCAATTCGCAGGCCCATTTACGCTTCAGCCTTGTTGACTTTCTGAATTACCCATATGCTTGTTGACTGGAGACCATGGTAGTCCCTCATTCATGACCACCGGATCTAGGTTTGGAGCCATCTGGCGTATTGATGTTTGAGGCGTATGGTAGACTATCCTTTGAGAATTGCACATGAATACCTGAAGACAAAATATAACAAAGTTTTGGGGGACCTGGGATTCGAACCCAGGTCCCAATGGTATCACGCACTAACGCCTTGCCAGCTGAGCCATGTTGTTAACTTGTTAGTAAGATAATCAACAAATATTATATGCACAATAATCACCTATGTCTGAAATAAAAAAAATAAACGCGCGTGATTTTAAATGGGCCAATGGGAGGGCGACGTCTGGTCGTCTTCTCCAAAAACTCTGGTTATTTACCTGCGGATTTTTATCCGCAGGAAGATTCGTGGGGTGGTTCAAGAACTCATTCTAGGCCATAAAAATCCCATCCAAGCACATGGACATGATCGTCTCTGTCTCCTGAGTATCCCTATAACCATTGTTTGTCTTAATTTTACCTGCAATGCAAATGCCTAAAAACAAAACAAGAAAACCCTAGGTTCGGGCATCACGATACAGGGCATGAAAATGAAATTGAATATTGCAGACATGTTAGAAATTTGGCATTAAGCATGATTATTCAAAAGATTTGGCAAAAGGATGCAAGATAACTGATTCACGATCTCATGTACAGGGCCAAGTTCGTGGTGACTTACAGGGCGTTTCAGGCGATGAGAAGGCTTGCTTCTGGTTGCTTTCGCTTCAGGGGATTGCCAACAATGGATTAGTGTCAAGCTTTTTGATTCAATCGTGCTCCAATGTTGTTTTTGATTTCACACTTTTCAAGCTTTTTTGCAAACTCGTTCTGGCCGTTTCAACAGTATTTTGTGCGTGTTCTAGGTTTGTGTGGCTTGTGTGAATATAATAGAATGAATTAGGTTTGGTCTTTTGGTCTGAAATCAAGTGCATTGAAGATTCATGATTTGGTTTTGATCACCATTATCAAACTTCCAAAAATAGGCCAAATCTGATTTTTTATGCTTGAATGAGCCTTGATACGAATTGACTAGGTGTTATATGATATTTGCAAGCTGTAATGACCACAACAAATTTTGTTACATCAATTTTAGATTTTATTTGATTTAATATTGATTAATAATGAATTAAATCAATAAAAAATGAAATAAAATAGAAAAATAGATGAATGTCCATGAAATCAAATATGGGACATGTGTGTGGCATGACAAGACTAAATCAAGTGGAAAAAAGTGGGCCCTTTTGTCAAAAATTGGAGTTTTGAGGATAGTTGACTTTTGGCAATTTTGGAAAAATGCCCAACTTCAACAATGCATAACTTCTTCAATTTTGAACTTTTGGAGGTGTTCTTGAACTTTTTAGAAACCTTGAGATGTCCTCTAATCAACCCTTTTGGTATCATCGCATTTTGATGTTCCATTCTCAAGTTATAAGCTTTGGAAAAAAAGGTGTTTTTGTTGACTTTCCAAAATGACCTATAATGTCCAAATTTGTAACTTTTTGTGAGAGTATTTCTTGATCTTGGGGCGTGAAGATGGATTGTAGGAAATTGAATCTTCTTAAAAATTAGCTTTGGATGGGTCATTTCTCATAAAGTATGAGAAAGTTATGCTTGGTTAAAGTTGAGTTGACTTTTCCTACAAAACCCTAATTTAACAACTTTTGAATCTTGATGAATCTTGAGCAATCCTTGATGAATCATGATCAACCCTTGATAAAATGATGAATTAACCTTCAAAATGAGAATGTTGACAAAAAATCTTGAGGTTTGACTTTATTTAGGACACAGTTGACTTTTGCCCTAACATAATCGACTTTTGGGTCTCTTGAGCAATTGACTGACCAAACTTCCTCTGCAAGGCTTGAAATTTGATATGGATGAACTTGATAACATATTAGGATATTGGAGAGCATTTGAGGTCATTTGGATGTAAGGACCTTGATGCAACACAAAACCCTAATTTTGAGATTGACTGCCTTATGAGGTGATTTGACTGTCCAACCCTTGAGCCAACTTGAGCAACTTGAAGATTATTTTTGACATGTCTTGAGGAATATGGAATGGAAAATTTTGGGGTACAACACGCTGTAAACTCAGTTAGTAAACACTTTCAATCAAAGGATATGGGCATTGATGTTGCTATAGAGCAATTGAAAGGGCTTATTTCTTTTTTCGAAAAATACAGGGAATATGGTTTTGAAAATGTCATAATTTCGGCTAAAGAAATTGCTATCGAAATAGATATAGAACCTAAGTTTCGTGAAAAACGTATTATTCGTAGAAAGAGACAATTTGATGAGATTATTGACAATGAAGTTTTAAAAACTCTTGAAGAATCATTTAAATCTGACTATTTTTTGTACATATTAGATCATGCAATTACATCATTTCGAAGTAGATTTGAACAATTTAAAATATATCAAAATATTTTTGGTTTTCTATTTAGTATAGAGAAATTAAGGTCATTAGAAATTGAAAATTTAAAAGAATATTGTCTTAACCTCGAATGTTCGTTAAAACATAACGATAACTCTGATATTGATGAATTAGACTTATTTTTAGAATTGAAAATATTAAGAAAAATCATACATGTTGAGAATGATACGCCAATTGATATACTTAACTATATAATACTCCCTCCGGTCTCATTTATAAGAAAAAATTAACTTTTTAGATACATTAAATAAGTAATGTATTTGGACAATATATTGTCCAAATACATTACTTATTCAATGTATATAAAAAGTTAATTTTTTCTTATAAATGAGACCGGAGGGAGTAAGACTCAACTCTTTTCCAAATGCATTTATTGTTTATAACATAATGTTAACGATTCCTGTAACTGTTGTTTCGGCAGAAAGAAGTTTTTCAAAACTAAAATTAATAAAATCTTATCTAAGGTCAACAATGTCTCAACATAGATTAAATGGATTGACTTTATTATCGATTGAAAAAGAAATGTTAAATGAAATTGATTACAATAGTTTAATAAATAATTTTGCATCTCAAAAAGCTCGAAGAGAAAATTTTAAATAAATATTATAATAATTTAATTTAATTTTTTTATTAAAATATAAAAGACCTCAATTTAAAATTTAATTTAAGTCTCGTAGAGTGTTGGACCGGCCCAGTCTCTATGTGTTTGGACTATTATAAAAGAGTGTGAATGATGGAAAGATATTACTCCCTATTGTCCTAACTTAGAAATAAGATGCAGGAATACAATATTCAACAAAAACAAACACAAGACTCATAATAAATTAACAATCCAAGCATAATTATGCAAGGTCTGAGTGTACACAATGAAAAATGTCTTCTTAGGGTTTAAGTCTTGAACGTGGCCGAAATTTACAAAAGCGCAAGAACTTAATCTTGTTGATTGTAAAGCTAATTGATAAAATCTTGAACAAATCTAAATTCCTCAAATTTAATCTTTACTAAAAACGATTGTAAATAAAACATTTTTAATCCAAAATGCACTTACAAGGTTCACAAGTTAGTCCAATGTCCTCTTCAACACCCATTAAAATGGTTTTAAAATTTCTTATTTCACTATCTATCTAAATTGCCCTACTTTAATTCTTTACTATTTTACTTTTAATATAAAGCTTAACTACAAAGGTTATTTCCACTTTATCCTTTTAATTACTTTTTTAATGACAAATTGCACATAAAATTTTGGTTTAAGTATATATTAAATCTTTGTAAATATACCAATTTTACTTTTATTATTGTAATATTATTGTTTGATAACAATCCTTTCTAATATATTATTTTTTGATTTTTTATAATAATAATAATAATAATAATAATAATAATAATAATAATAATAATAATAATAATAATAATAATAATAATTATTATTATTATTATTATTATTATTATTATTATTATTATTATTATTATTTTAATCTCTACAAAATTTATTTTTATTAGAAGTGACTCTTATCCTTCTATTTTGATTCATCTATTTGTTTATTTATTATTATTATTATTATTATTATTATTATTATTATTATTATTATTATTATTATTATTATTATTATTATTATTTATGTAAATATATGCACAATTATGAAGAATATATATTTAATTCTACTATTTTATCCCTCTATTTTGATTCATTTAAAAAAATTAACCACTACAACAATTATGATTTATATTATTATAATTTAATTATAACTTTTGATTTTAGTCTTAAACTTTTTATTTGGAAATTAACCTATATAAACTTTAAAAAAATATCTATGTAATAACATCACAAGCCGTGTTTAAAAAAGGGACAACAGAAAAAATCGACTAAGACAGAGGTCGAAAGAAAAGGAAAAATAACACCAACCACCAACACAAAAACACAACCAAGCCTCCTGAAAGAATAGAACAACACACCGTCATAAAAGGGTAGTCGACCATTCAACACACACCTAAATTTAAAGGCATTCGAGAAGGTCACAATCCCAATTTAACAAGGAGAGAGTAGTACCCGAAGCATGAGAATGGACCAACTTTCATGACAAACCAATATGCACTTACTGATCTACCGATAAACTTTTCAAACAAATTTTTTATCACATTTTTCAAATAATTCAGAACAACAAATGTCAGATCAAAAGCAGCTATAATCGAGAATTTTTTCCTTAAATTAATCGCTGAAAGACATCAAAAACTCCTAAGATTGAGCGAGGAAGTGATAAATTCATCACCACCCTCCTAAGCACCTTACATCAAATCAACGAGACAACTTCACACTGAACAAACAAATGATCCACATAATCAACTTTCCCTAAAAAAGCCGCACACTCAATCTGACTTACAATAGAAAAAATATCTTGTCTAACAAGATTATGTATAATCGCCAATCTGTCTTACTTCAACTTTCAAGAAAAATCATCATTTTAAAAGACGTCTAACTCTTTCAAACTCTAACCAAACCCTAAATCACACAGATCAATCTATTATCTATCCCAACGACCAAGGATGAAAATTTAAAATAAGAAGAACTCACATAAAAACCTCTTCTAGGATCAATCATCCACAAGGAGGTTCAAAGACATTAACTTTGTGGGATCACATCAACTCATTAAACCATATAACATAATTTTATTAGTCCACGAATGACATCAATATTAAAATCAACAATTTTTTAAAGTACAACCATATTGATCCATAAGAACTCTTCAATTAAGCATTTTTTTTTTAGTGACATTAGCATTAAGACAAATGATCTCTTGAAAACTTCAAAATTAACAAGTCACCTTACTCTAAAGTATAGGATTAAAATAAAAATAAGTGTTTAGTAGTTTCAATTTTTTTTTTTGTGTGGTACAGATGTAGTAGTTTCTTTCTAATGCATAAAAAAAATCATGATGTATGAAAGGTCATTTTTTTTAACTTTATAAATACCAAATTCTTTGGGCACTTTGCTATTAGTTTCTGATATCTTATTCCTGTTTATATAAGTGGAAAAGAAGAGAGAAAGGGAAAGAAAGAAAAAAACATCAAGCTATTGCTGAAACATCTCTCTTCTGTTCTATCCTTAATTATATTCTCCTTTTGTTTCCTCTCCAAAGGTTAGTGAAGAAAATATTGAAACACATCTTTTGTAATCCATTCTCACTGCTTCAACTCTTTTGGGATGAATCATACTTTTTCACTCCAAACCCAGATTTGGTAACATAAACATCTCTAGATTTAATCTCAAGAATCAAAACTTTGAACTAATCTAGTAAATGTTGGGAACTGAAGGGTTAAAGTGTCTCTAATCAGATTCTATTTCTAACTCCTAAACTTTCAACTTCTTGTTACCTTTTTCATTATGTTTTTTCATAATCAGACAAAACAACCTTAAAAAACAAGAATTTTGGTCATGAAAATATAATCATACATATTCAAATACTATGTTTTTTGTTGGTTTAATCAAAATATGTTTGATTTTTAGCTTGGAAGCCATGGCTTTTCCAAATCAATCCATGTCAGATTCTCCACAGAGAAAGATGGGAAGGGGAAAGATTGAGATCAAGAGGATTGAAAACACAACGAATCGCCAAGTAACTTTCTGCAAACGCCGAAACGGCTTACTCAAAAAAGCTTATGAACTATCTGTTCTTTGTGATGCAGAAGTTGCTCTTATAGTCTTCTCTAGCCGCGGTCGCCTCTACGAATATGCCAATAACAGGTATCCACACAATCTCACTTGTCTCATAAGCCCTTTTCAGATTTTGCTACACAAGTTTTAAAAAATATTTCAGTTATAGATGTTTTTTAAGCCCTTTTGATATTTCTTATAAGCCCTTTTGGTGGTGTTGTAGATCTTTTTGTGAAGGACTTAAAACTCAAAGAGCATAATAATTTTTCTTTTAATGGAGTTAATTTCTTACTCTTTCTATCTTTGTTTTCTGAGGCCAAAGAACACTTGTCTTTCTTTAGTTCTATTTTGGATTTTTCCTTCTTTGAGTCTAAGAACTTTTTTTCTTTTCTGCTTATGATTAATTTTTCTAGTTCTTGTTTATTGTATACATAGATCTGGTGCAATAGATAGAAATATAGGTAAGGATTTGGGAAGTTACACAGTGCTGTGAGATCAGCCACTTGCTTCAACACACACACCATTCTTGTTAATTTTTTCTGTTTCCCTTTTCTTCTTTCAATTCTCTCTCTCTTTCTTACACATCTATGTGTTTGTGTGTGGCTATGCTAAACAAAGAGCCTAAAAGCAAAAGCTGTCATGTGTGCTACAATAAGCCCAACCCATCCATCTCCTTGACACTTCCTTAATAACACGTCACAAGAAACCATAGTACACTTTCAATCCATTTCTCAATTTGTCAAATTCAAATTGATTTTTACTAGGGTTTGACAGTTAAATACACTGTTTTATATAATAGATTATGATTAAAAAAAGTGATTTTTTCTCAAATAATTCTTTTTTACCTCAGATAAATCAAGACCCAATTAAGGATTTTTTATTAAAAATTCAAATATTCAATAAAAAATGGATCTTTAATTAGGGTTTGACAATTACATATACACTGTTTTTATATCAGATTATGATTAAAAAAAGTGATATTTTTCTCTCATAATTCATTTTTGCCTCAGAAAAATCTAGACCCAGTTAAGGATTCTTTATTAAAAATTCAAATTTTCAATAAAAAATGGATCTTTAATTAGGGTTTGACAATTACATATACACTGTTTTTATTTCAGATTTTGATTTAAAAAGTGATTTTTTCTCTCATAATTCATTTTCACCTCATAAAAATCAAGACCCAGATAAAAAAATTTCGTTTTAAATACAAGAATTGAGTTTTCCCCAAATATAAATAACCCAAAAATTAGGGTTTCTTAGCAAATAAAATTTTTAAACTTGGTTGTAAATTAATAAAAACCAAAACTTTAGTTTCTATGACAGTAAATAAAAAAGATGAAAATGGTAAAAAATAAAGTGAGTTAAAGATGAAATAATTTTGGTTGATTTTGAAACTGTTTTAGGAAATGAGGTTTGGTGTATCTGGTTAGGGTTTTTAAGGAATGGGATTTGTCTTGGTTGAAAAGAATCTTTGGTCACGTCACACACATGATTTTTCAGTTCTTGACTTCTGACAAAAGACTAATTTATGTCATCATTTCCCATTCTTGCTTCTCTTTTCCCTCTTTCATTTCAACCCTAACATTTATCTTCTATAGTTCAAAACACTCTTCAATAGGAAAATTTTTCCTCCCTATTTATTCTTAGTTTACAAGTAGAAATTCTTTAACAACAAATGTCAGTGAAATAAGTGATGAACCATATTAATATTTCACCTAGGTAATTGAGATTTTTTTCATCTCAAAATCTTGCAAGGATTAGAAAAAAAAAAAATAAAGATTAAAGTGAGGGAGATAATTGCTCCTAGTAACAAGACAAACGTACGACAACTAAGAATAGCCAATGAGAGTGTTCTAAAAATATTGATGTTACTGCTGTTATAGCAGAGAAGATGAAATGGACGGTTTTGATGTTGCCACATCATTTTTTTAGAATGAAAAGACTTAAAAAATATAATAATATTTTATTTTTTTACTGTTCGAAATTTTTGAAAAGTTAGTGTAACATTGAATATTTAGGTCTTATGTTGGCACATCAAGGTGGTTTTTTCAATGTGGTTTAGGGTATTAACCATTGAGGAATGGGTTTTTGTGCTAGAAATAGTTGAACCAATCATATAGTGGAATCTAGTGCCAGCGTGGCAGAGGTAACCAATGACTAGCTCGAGGATATTAAGGTATCAGAAAAACAACATAAAAGGGTTTTTTTAATGTTTTATAATTTTGTTGATTTTCTAAAATTGGATGTTATTTTAATAATTTATTTTGTTTCACATCCAATCAGATTTTGACATGATGACTGAAGAATGAGATCGTTCTATAATGCTTTTAACTTGTTGTTTTTAAGGTTCAGAAAATTACCAAGAAATGTGGATGATTTGACCATTGACCAGTGACAAGTTATTTACAAAATCATTATGATTATGAATTTTAAATACGTATTACAAAAAATTGGATAATTTTAATTGATTTATTTTTTCTATTTTTGTTCGTTCCTGACCAAAATATTTGTTGCGTATGAAACATTACAATGATCTCAGAGCAGAGATGCTCACCTCATATGAGGAATTTTATTCTATTAGTAAATAATTTTAGGGGAATTTGATCTCTATTTAGTTGTAAAAGAAGAGAGGAATTAATTTGGAAATTTAAATTAATTTATTATTTTAAGATGATTAATATGAAATTTAAAATTTATATTGATTTTATTTGTACATTTTTATCTTCGTGTTATCATATACAGTAGGTAAAACCTTGATTTTTTTTTCCAACATTTCCCCCTCATTTTCTCCAATTTTAGTGTAAATTAATGATAAAAAAAGTGACATTGCAACATAGGATCCTTATAATCTATCATTCCATATCAAAAAGTTGTTTTTTTAACCGTTAGACCTTAATGAAAGAAAATACATTTTTCAGATTTATTCTAATTTTTTTTATAAACAAATTACCTCTGAAGCCAACTAAGATCATTTTTGTGAGAGTGTAAAATGGACTATTGGACAACTATATATGAGATCAAAATTTTATTATGATTAAATAATAATTAAATAGGACTTTATATAATATTTGTCACTATTAAATTCTGGTAAAATATAAAACTTCCAAAACATAATACAACTCTACCTGTAACTCAATATACTCCTCTTTGATAAAATATAAGATTTCTAAAAATATAATACGATTCTGTATGCAACTGAATATATTACACAGAACTATAGATACTAATCCCTTTAGTTGGAAATGTCTATAGTAAGTGAGAAATCTTAAACCTTAAAGTTGAATTTGAACCAAAAATCAATGGTTAAATTGAAAGATACTTGTATCATCTCTTTCAAGTGCTCACTAGTAGGGGCATTCAAAACTAAATCAATCTAATAAAAAATTGCAAATTAAATCAAAACAAATTGAAACAGCAAAAAGTCGCATTTGATTCGGATTTGTTTGAGTTATCTTTTAACAAAATCGCATGGTTCGATTCGGTTTGGGGTTTATATTTTATAAACCGAATCAAACCGCATTATGTTACAACTTAAATTTTACTTAACTCACATCCAACTCAAACTTAAATCTATTATACGTTAGCCTTATGATTACGAACAATTTTCTCATCCTTACATTTATGGTTTCAGTTTCAGTCTTTTCAAATCTCTCATAACATTATCACACTATCTTCGTCACATACATCTTGCCTTTTCTTCTATAATATCTACTCTCTTATATTCTTTCCTTTTCACTTTCTCATTTTTATGCAAATGTTTCATCTTTCAATTTCATTTTTATCGAACATCTTCTTCTCTAATTTCTCCCCTCTTATGTTCTTTATTTTTTCATCTTCACTAATCTCTCATCTCTTCTATTTTTTTTTATTTCTTATAATATTTTTTATATTGTTTAATGTTATTATTTTATGTTTATTATTCCACTTTTGTCTAATTTAATTTTTATATATTAAATGAGAAGTTGTTGTCCAAATATAATGAGTTTTGTTGTTATTTTGTAGTGTACGAATGACTAAATAGAAAGTTATGTTGTCATTTATATGTGTATGTATGACTCATTAATATTTGTTAAAAACCTAACCAACCGAATCGAACCAAACAACATTGATTTGGTTTGGTTTGATTTGATTTTCTTCTAAAAGCCAATCAAATCAAACAAAACCTCACTTTTTTTTCCTTACATTTTAGATGACTTTTAATATTAAAACCGCTCAAACTGCACCGCGAACACATCTACTCAGTGATCTTTATTAGTATTGTATGATTAGGTTTTAGGATATTAATATTCTAAAAACATTTATAAAAAATTTAGAGGAAAATTATTATAAACTAACTTTAGACTAATTATTATTTCATAGCGATGTTTGAGAGATTTGAACATTATCTTGTAAGATTATGCTACTTAACTCCACATAATATATTACTAGCTTGCTAATATAAAATGGAATGAATTTTTAATGCAACTATTAATGACTACAGTGTGAAAGCAACAATTGAAAGGTACAAAAAAGCATGCTCAGATTCATCTGGCACTGGATCTGCTTCTGAGGCTAATGCTCAGGTATTGTTAATTAATCGCAAATTACTTCATATTTATTTTACTCTATAACCTAACATTCACATCCATGATTTCATATATATGTTTTCCAGTTTTACCAACAAGAAGCTGAAAAATTGCGTGTTCAAATTAGTAACCTGCAGAATAACAACAGGCAAGTTGATTCAAATTCCGTCTTTTGATATTACAATGTCAAACTCTTAACACAAGCTCTGTTGTTAACCGAAAGACATTTTCGGTTAACAATGTGACTCGTGTTAATTTGTAATGTGCATTACCTGAGAATGCATGCTGAAAAAAGTTCAAATTGCAGGCAAATGATGGGTGAATCTCTAGGATCTATGAATGCCAAGGAACTCAAGAATCTGGAGTCTAAATTAGAAAAAGGAATAAGTAGAATTCGTTCCAAAAAGGTAATTATCAATTAGTATTTTCTACTATAATTTTTCTGGATTCATGATTTGATGTATATTGATTTGGTGAATTTGAGTGATATATTCTTCTGATTCTTCCTTTTTTGCTGCATCACAAAAATCAACATCAGAATGAGCTGTTATTTGCTGAAATTGAATACATGCAGAAGAGGGTTAGTATTTTTCTTTGTATATAATAAGTGATTATTTAAAAGTGATTATATAAAAAAGTACTTTTTTTAAAACAAAAAAAAACTGTAGCAAACAAACCCTATATCATAATGTGTATTGCCCTAACTTCTAAAATATGTACACTGCAGGAGATAGATTTGCATAATAACAACCAACTTTTGAGAGCAAAGGTATTTTTTTTAAAAGTGATTATTTCAAATATAATGTTGTTGATAGTATTAAGAATATAACAATTTTTTGTAATGGTTTATGTAGATAGCTGAAAGTGAGAGGAACCACCACCATAATATTAACATGAGTGTGTTACCTGGAGGCACAAACTATGAATCCATGCAATCTCAAACTCAGCAGCAATATGATTCTCGCGGATACTTTCAAGTTTCTGGATTACAATCCAGTAGTAGTCAGTACGGACGACAAGACCAAATGTCTCTTCAATTAGTGTAAGAATCTCTCCCTTTCAACATCGACCAATTTCATATAGCTCAAATTTTAAAGACTAAAGATCTGTTAGGTCATCTATTATCTGGTCATGCTTTCAGACAATCCAGTGGTATCAACTCGGTACATCTTGTGCTAACTAGTGTTTTTTTTTTGCGCTTGTGATGCAGTTGACATGTTTGCGCTCGAGAAGTATGTAAGATTGTTGTAGTTTGCTTCTTAGTATATGATGACGATGACGATGACAATGATGATGATGATAGCAGATGAATGCTAAGGGTCATATATATATATATATATATATATAAGAAAAACTGAGAAGGGTTTGTAAGTATCCCCTCAGTACTATTCAATGGATTTATAGACATGTTAAGACTATATATTTTGTATCTATTATGAATTCAAATACTCTCTGATATGTGTCCTAAGGTTAAGGACAAGACATATTCACATGTTTGTCCACCTTTGTTTATTTTCCTTATTCTAGGCTCTCATGAAAACAACAATGATGTGCAAAAACATGTTTCAATTGATAATAACTTGACTATAAACTCATTGTCATGGTAGTTTCATAAAATTGAATTTACCCTTTTTATAAAAAGTTATATTTAGATAAAATATTTAGAGATTTTATAAGTATACATTAAATAGTGTTCTTCATAAATAATGAAAATATAAATAAAGAGATGGATGTTTGAGTATGTTGTGAAGATAAGATCACACCCTCCCAAATTCGGTTATTACGCGAACTCTAAATGATCCACAAAATCTTTGCAAATTTATTATCTTGTGCTTCTGTCATTCCTACAATACTTGAAAAAACAATCTCTTAACAATTTGTTGAAGATTGAACATTAGGAAAATAGCTTATGCAAACTTTTTTGTAAGTGTTAATTTTGACATGCACTTGTGCTATAAGCTCCAAATAAATTGTTTATCCAAACAGACCCATAATCTCTCGAATTTATCACTATTATGCATTTTGTAATCACTGTCACCTTCATCCTTATGCATTAATCTGATTTTTTTTTCATGTAAACCTCTACGCACTTCAACTACATTATTCCGGACTGGTAATGGTTGCCCGAAGGAGATTGTCGGGGGTATGCCCGACTTTTGAAGAAGGGTGGACTTCATTTTTATTAACCATCTTCTCAGACAAGTGAATGAACTTGGCTTTAATGGATCTTTCTGCTTCATGGTTATGTGGGAGCCAGATTATTCTTGCTATAAGGGAAGCCTTGTAAAGTTGTTGGTTTAGTATGGTTTAGAGATGTGACTTTTTTTTTTACCAACCTGACCCATATTTTCAAGCTATTACTCAAACTAACCCACATTTCAAATTAAATCGCAATTTACCTCACTTTCAAAATAAAAAATAATGTAAATATGTTACTAATGTTTAATAGGATGTGCCAATTGAATAAGAGTGGCTTGTTTGTGGAAGGATGTGTCCTTGCCCGTCCTTTGTTGCTTTTGTTTGGATTTTGATTGTTTGATGTGTGTGGTTAGATAGAAACAATGTTGTTTTTGATAGTTGGGTGTAGAATCGTGGAGACATTTTGTCTTTCATTAAGAGATTATGGTGAGATTGGTTGTCTATTTTGTTCAAATGTCTCAATGACTTTTTGTTAGACGTGTGGTTGATTAATTCCGGCTTATATGTCGGATTGTAGCTTTTGATTTTCTTAGGGTTGGTCTCTTTGATCTCCCTTCCTTTTGTATTGGCTAGCATCTTTGTTGCTTTTAATGCAAGTGATTATAAAAAAATAAATTAATCAAGAGTATTGTATTTATTTAATTAATTAGTATTTAAGTGTTTTTAATAGTTATTTAGTATAGTTATAATATGATTAATCAATATATAAATTTTTAACAAATTACTAATTAATCATAAATAAGATAAAATATTAAAGAATTATATTTAAATTGGATTACAAATAATGAAATAATTTTTTTTATATTAACGATGATGTGATACATTGTAGTGATCGTCGGTTCAACATGGACACAATACTAATGGCCGTCGAGATCTCAATTCGTTTTGTTGAGGTGACAGAGAAGATGTCTCAGTGTTAGAATCAAACATAAGTTATTTTTCGACTTGGTCAAAGTCTTATTGTTCAATGAAGGCATTGTCATTATTTAATCCAATGCCTACATGTTTATATTTTGGTTGCGTTGTTGTTTGGATTGACGTGGTAATGGTTGGTCGATAGTAGTTTTGGTTGAGTGGAGTGGGTTTGGTGTGAATGTTTAGACGAGGTAAAATAAATTTATTGATGTGGTGTTTAAAAGGTTATGTTTGGCTTAGGTGTTTTTTGTGTGCAATGATATGAGTATGATGTGCTGGTGGCTGGTATTTGTTATTTGTGTTGGATATAAGACTCTATACACAAGAGAGGGGGTTGAATTATGTTGGATTGAGAAATTCATTTTCAAAACAAATTCATTTATAAAACCAAAGTTTAAAAATATTTTGTAAAATAAATAGAGTATAATCATAAGTGATAAGAAAAACATAAATGCGACAAAAATATATTACTGAAAATTTAAAGAGTTAAGGGATAAGAGAAAAAACCTGAATTATATAGGTTCGATCTTAATGAAATGATGTAATCCTCTCCCCAAGAATTTTTCTTGAGAGTTTCCACTATCTTGAGAGTTTTTAACAAGATATTTGGACGAACCTCCTTTTATAAGGGTTAGAGTTTTTCAACGGATAACTTCTCAAGCAACAACGAACAAAATTTTAAATACGGATACCTCCACAACCAACTAAAACATTGTAACTACGAAGACCTCAACCAAATAGAGGTTTTACTTGATTTACCTCAATCAAGCAAGAGATTTTAATCGTTTTACTTACAACCAAACACCACCTTCTTACCAAGAAAATATTTCTTAAGTGATAATACACTTTTGAGTAATTTAAAAATTTTCCCCACAACATAAACAATGATCCTCACAAAGTAAAAATCCAATCTTAAAGAACTAAGGTAAAACTAAAATGAGAAATGAGACATTTGTAGAAAAAGAGTGGAGAGTGAGAAAGAAGATTCAAAACCCGTTTTCTGGATGATTCGAAATGATAAATGATTTCTATATTTATAAGACTAAACATGGTGAAATTAGGAAGCAATATATGGGCTAGTTAAGCCTCATAATCGATTATGTTAAAGGCATAATAGATCATGGCACCCTAATATGGAAGGTTTTAATTCTAAGCCATTTCCAATCTTTCAAGGGAATTCTTCGACATGTTCTAGGCGTTACAAAGAAAAATAATTGACTATCCAAAAAGCTTAATCTATTATCTCTTTGTAAAAAATGCTTTTGACTAATTATACAATTCACTAAACAATTGGCTAGACTTTTAAAACATTTTTAGGTGATTTATAAAATCAAGAGAGGCTTTTCAAGATATTTAAATGTATGTGTGATTTTCCTTAGTAAAATCGAGATATTGTCTTATACCTTTACAATCACTGATCACTAGACTTAGAAAAGCAAACTTTCACATTCCTCTCTTTCACAACTCTGAAGTTTCTAGTTTCTTGCCCCATTATCTTTGAATTTAGCACTTGACTGGAACTTCGATGAGGCTTGAGATAACTCTTTATAGCAATCTCGATCATCAGACAAACCACTTGATCAAAGATCTTTGCCGAATTCATCGACACCACTTTACTTAAGGTGTTGTCTTCTCTGATAGGCACATTAATAAGTGAAAATTATAGTTATTTTTGTATATAATTTTTGTTGCACTTATCGACTCTTTGTTGTTAATATCAGTTGAATAACCCGACTTTGTGTGTAAATTCGTTTAGTTTGTGTATAGTGTGTTTTGTGTACATAGTGTACAGTTTGATAGTTTTGTATTTGTTTTGTAGGTATAGGAGCATTGATGGAGCGAGAGGAATAAAATCTCTGAGATGCATTGTTTGATCAATAAAGGAATAAGGCAAAAAAGAGAGTCATTTGAAGTTATGCAAAGAAAGCAACAAAATTTATTGGACTGGTGTGCATCATCAGGCAATGTCCAGATGAGGTGAATCGCATCTGCATCGCCGAGCGACACTAGAGCGATAGGATTGAGTCAATTTTCTAGTTGGGTCTGCCTTGCTTCGTTGTTGTGTCACTAGGCAAGGTGAAGTAGCAGTGTCAGCTGACGTGAGTCTGTCGTCGGGCGAAAGAAGATATTTGTGGTTAGTTGCCTTTGTGGCGTAGTTTGGGCCAAGAGTTTAGGTAGCATCGTTGGGAAATGTGTTTGTCTCGTTGGGCGATGGTCGCAAAACAAAGTTTCTTTATATTTCATTTTCATTTCATTTTGTTTGGTTATGGTTTTGGGTGTGGTTTTTTATCTCCCAACTCCATCAATCTCATTTTTTTAGTGGATTAGCTTAGATAACAACTATGGAACTTGCATAGGAATGATCCGGGAGGGATTGCTCTTCGATTGGCATTGACAAACCAGTAGATTTGTGGCTCATTTATCTTTTTTTTTTGTGTATTCTATTTTAGTTGGGTTTGTATGTATATTTACTTTGAACTCATGTATATTTGTCGCCCATGGCATTATATAAAACTTGCTTTACAAGTCTTTGAAGAGTCTTGTCCTGGATTTGGCTATGTGCTCTGGATTTGGGTTGTTATAGACATACACTATCGGGTTCTTATCTAGGATGATAGTCTGTTAGTCTCTGGATTCTAGAGATAGATTTAGAGCTGACATTCACTTGGGTGTGTGTGATAAATGCCTTTGTGTTGGTTGTGTTGACTGAAAGATCGTTAACGCGAGTAGCACCTTTGACTTTTGTGTTGTTAAGGTTGGTTGAGAGATCTCCGCTGAGATGATATAGTGGGTGTAGTGTTTAACACGTGATGAAATTGACGAGTCTTGTAGGTTGATTATAACTGGTCGATATGTTTATGCTTGTGAGGAGTGAATATATTCACTCTTTATAAGTTATTCCTTTTTCTTTTATTTTTGTTTACATTTATTTTCGGTTGATAACTTTTACTCTTTCCATTCAATCTCCCAAACTCATTAATGAATGATTTGTCGAAGGCGACTTGATAACCAATCTCTCTGGACACGATACGATATAACCTAAATATCACCCGGTAAAATAATAACTTATTTTTTGCTTACCGTTTTACCGCTCTAGCAAAATGGTGTCGTTACTGGGGATTGGTTTATTGTTTCGCATTGCAATAATTCTTTTGTTTTTGAGTTTTTTAGATATTGTATATATTGTCTATTTTTACTTGTGTATATTGACACTTGTATATGTTTACTATACTTATAAATTTGTTATACCATTGTTTGTTTCTTTTCACATTTGCTTGTGTGTTGGTTAGGAATAACCAGTTGGAAGCAACATGGAGGAATGTTCTTAAATAAAAGGCGTCGAGCTTAATACGTAAAAAAAGCATATTTTATTGTTTTTCATTTTATTAGTTTAGGTAGTTTAATTCAATTGTCTAAACAAATTTAACTCATACTAGTTCTTAAATTTCATATCTTCACTTTTAAATTTGTTTAGACAATTTCGTTCGGTCTTTTAGTATGTGTATATTATTTGTGTTCATTTGTGTGTTTGTCTTTGAGCTTGTTATGAATAACTTGAGGATATTGAGGTAATTTGTCAAGTTTGATCGTTTTGACTTGCGAATACGTGGTAATGATTTTGTTAAGGTTTTGTACACGTTCGAGGTATGTGTTTATCGCTTTCTATACTTTAGCATATTCATGATACTTAGACTTTTTACAATTTTTATGTCATTCATTCTTTTGTATACTTGTTTATTTCTGAATCACTTTAGTTTCTACCCTTTTGTGAGGTAGCTTTCCATTGTTCATATATACTGGATACCACAATTCTTGTTTTAACTGGATTTTATTATGCTTAATATTTTATTTTGTGTTGATTGTATGAATGCATGAAATGGATCAAGACATTTTTGTTGATTTTGAGCACAACTACCAGGCCTAATAGTCAATTCACCTTATGAGTGTGTGAACTTTTGTAACCTCCTTTGAGCCTTTTTGTCGATTTCCATGTTGTTTTTGCTTAATTCTAGTCTATGAGTGTTCAGTTCACCTTTTTATATGGACGTTGATTCTTTTGTTTTCTTGATCCTTCAACCATTATTTTTGGTTTGAATTTTTACCTTGTCTTAAAAAGTAGAAAGTA